CCTTCTAAGTGTTGGCTGAGGTGCCTGTGGGTTTCCCTCTGAGGTTTCTACTAGGAAGGAATTATGTTGCAATAAGTAGAGGATTTGGTTTTGAAATTTATGATTGGCTAGATAAGTTTATTTAGGTGGTAGCTGAAATTCCTGATCCCCTTCTTAGTTTATTTGAAACTTCTTTGCCTTCTCCCTTGCTACTTATTTACAATTCACTCAGGTTTTTATTATATCTGTAGCTCTCTCAAACAAATCTGAATTATATGCTTAAAAGTGTTTTATTGATGAGATGAGTTTGCCATTCTAATTTCTCATCTTTAATTTCTCTGTATTTTTTTCAAACATAGGTTAACATAATTGAAAATGTCATGATGTGCCATGGAGTTTAGAATAGAAAATATAAAATAGGGTATAGCCTTACATTAAAACAGTCGATCCTATGGAGCTTTAATTCCCCATGCTTGTCAAACGTTGTTAAAACATTGCTTGCCTTTTTTGAATATAAAATGTAGGCAGACATGTACTAATATATCAAAAAATGACACTTTGTCAAAGAGTGCTTTCATGGGGGAATGTTCTGAATAAAGTGTTTTCTTTTAAAAAGAACTCAACCTGTTTAACATTCCAAAGCAAACACAAAAGAACACAAAATGCTTGAACTTACTGCCAGTCACAACAGTCCGTTTCATTTATCCTGTCCTATGTTTTTTTTTATGCTCCAAAAAATTGTTTCCCCCAAAGAATTATCAGTTTTATTCCACGATAACCCTAGTTTGAAGTAAAATAAAAGCACCCTGACTCTCCTCCAAATGGGTTCTTTTCAGACTTGCTAGCACTTCTAACAGTACAGAGATGATACGGTTGGCTATGTCTACCACTAGGCTCTATGTAATTATATGGGAAGCAATGCCTCCCTTATCTATTAGGAACACTTGCTGCAGCTAACTGCACCCCAGTGTCTGGGTATGAAATATAGAATCAAAATCTCAAAATACTTTCTCAAAAAACCCCCCCTCCCATTCATTCCAAAACCGATTAGCCTAAGAGAAGACGGTAACCAGGAAAGGATAAGAAAACAGATGGTGAAGACCTTAGCAAGATTAACAAAACAGATGCACCTGCACGTCACTCTTCACCTTTCTTCAGTGGCCCCTCTCTGTTACAGTTGCTTTATGATGGTTCCAATCCTTTGGCCTTCTAAGGATTTCCAAGGTTAAGATGATAGCTGATAGTCAAAATGTTAAACTGAAAAATCAATAGATTGTTGGCTTTGATCTCAATCAAATTCTCTCTTCTCTATGTAGGAAGAGTATTTTACTTACCATTCACATTATTTGTGGAGAATGAGCCCAGGTCTAGCTCTTGAGTAGAAATCAGGGAGGCAAAGGGAAGAAACAGAAAGAGGTGAATGGCAACTGAGGGTATTGAGACGCAGTAAAAGGCAAAGATATCCTGGAATGCCATCGAATGGACTGGTGGAAAGGAAAGCCGTATTCCATACCACATGACTGCAGACTGCTCACACTTAATATACCCAAAGGGCTACTGATCGGAGTGGAGACTCTACAAAGGTTTGAGCTACTGTCAGAGAATGGTGGGAACAGTGTCTGCCAATTATAAAGATTCACCGACGAATAGAGAGCCCAGGATTTAATAAAATATTGGCAAATTCGGCATATCCTATTATGAGAGGATACAAAGGCTATTACAGTAACAAACCCTAGTTATGAATGCTCAAAACAAATATGCTAACTTTAGCTTTTCATTAACTCGTTGCATTACGGAAAGGGAGACGCATTTTGTTGTGGTGGAGGCAACAAAAGCAGAGGACGTGGTGGTAGTAATTTTGAGCATCTCACTTTGGTAGTGGTTTCTCTAGCGGCTGAGGTGGGGGCTGAGGCCAATGAGGTGTGGAGTGAGGCTTTGAACCCTATCTCCGCTCCTAACTGATTATGGAAGCCTGCAGGAGTGTCTTAGCTTCTCCAACTTTGATCCATTCATCTTGAAAATGGGCCTACTACCACCTCATTAAGTTTTTTTTTTTTTTATTTTTTTTTTTAGCTCAATGCCCTGGTCACATTCAGTAGTTAATAAGGCAGTTGGACCAGTCATCAGACACAGACATTGGTGTTTTCAGCCCGTCCTGCGTTTTTCTAGAAACATTGCCTCACTCCCACCCACATCTGATTTATACACTGATTTTTCATTTTTTAATATTTTATTTATTATTTTTATTTTTTATGTGTATGAGTGTACTGCCTGCATGTAGGTAAGTGCACCTGTGTCATGCAATGCCTGCAGAGGACAAAAGAGGCTGTGGGATCCCCTAGAGCTGGAGTTACTGACAGTTGTTAGCTGCCATGTAGGTGTGGGATTTGAACCCGGGTCTTCTGCAAGAACAGCTAGTGTTCTAACCTGCTGAGCCATCTCTCCAGCCCCCTATCCTCAGATTTTTATAGACCAAGAAACTATTCAGTCCCACTGGTTCCCATTACATAGACCATACTGTTTAAGTACAAGTTAAAGTAAGAGGTGTCCTTGAACACACTTTCTGGTTTGCTATTCTGACTCCTAATAAATTTTGTTATTTTATTGTTACACACTTATGAACCTTTTGTAAGACCAGCAGTTCCACCTAAATGCATTAGGTGGTTCACAGCTGAAACCAGCAGAAGATGCACATTGATCCCAGTCTGTTGAATATTACATCTTACAGCACTTCTTAAACTGTTTTATAAATTAATTGATTTGAAATTGAATGACAAGGTAACACTGAACTTTAGCTAAGGATATAAGTCAAATATAAGAATTTAAATAACCATTTTAATTAAATACAAAGCTTAAGCAAATGATCATTAAAAGTGAGACTGGTAGCTTAAATTCATCATCCTGAAGCCATTTATTCCACATTGCTAATGAGTTTTCCTCTACTTGAAGGAAAGGCTAAATTGTGCCTCTTCAATGAGGCATCTAGTAAAAGAGCCTTTCCTCAGGTCATGGCTGTTCAAGTTGTTCAGAGAGTCTCCTGGTTCTGCCCTCCAATTCACTGTAGAAGCACTTGGATTCCAGATGTGTGCTGCTGTGGCCTGCTTTCTGTGGATTCTGGGCTTTCAAACTTGAGTCTTCATGTTTGCATAGCAAACGTTTTACTCATTGATCCTTCTCCCTAGCCCAGGGATGGTTTTTAAAACCAGTGTTTTTTATTGCTTACCATCTACTTTACCTAATCAGAATAGCTGATAATGTCGGCATGCATCTATCTGCAACTTTGAAGACAGATTTCTCCCCCTCTGTTATCTGCTGCTTTCCTATATTCTAGAATTAGTTTAATTGTTGGACACCTAAAAGAGAGCAGCGTGTGTCTACTGTTTAAAAGCAGGTGAGATTTAATGGTGAGTTAAATTGTTTTGTTACTTGAATAAATACCTGTGATCACTGATTGTCACATTTATCTTCTGTTGTAAAACTGAACTAATTGAAGGTGCTCCCCTCCGGGGATGAGCTCCACAGTATAATGAATGCTGAGTGCCCTCTTGAGCTTATCATTTTAATTATTCATAATTATAATGATTTCTGTTTATTTGGGATCTTTGAAAAATAATTCTAGCTTATTAAACAAATTGAGAAGCAGAGTATTTGGGGCTTTGTTTTGCTTTGTGCTGAGGTCAGCAGGCCTGGGAGCGTGCCAAGTTCTCACAAGCACTGGGTTTGATTTCTTGGCTGGTGGGCAGGCACAGTGGACATGGGTTGTGCCCTGTAATAACTGGGTACACTTTTTCCTCTCTGAACTCCTTAGAACTGTGGACAATACGGGGGTTGTGAGGTAGAGAAATGACAAGAACTTAAGTGAAAGAGTTGTAAATAATTTATGGTAATGTTAATCAGAGAAGAAATACAGTGGAGTCAGTTACTGATATTAGCCAAGTGTGCAGTTTTTAGACCTATTCCTTTTCTTTAAAAGAGCTCGTGTATGTGCATTGTTCATGAGTGTGTGTGTGTGTGTGTGTGTGTGTGTGTGTGTACGGGCACAAGTTTGCTTTAGGCCTCAGTATATTTGCATCCTAGGGGTTCAAATAAAGACAGATTCCTGGGTTATTTTGGATCTTTATGTCCATTCTTGTTGAGTGTATGTGATAACGATGTGCTAGTTTCATGGGGCTGGAGAGATTATTCACTGGTTAAGAGCACCTGCTGCTCTTGCAGAAACTCTGGGCTTAGTTCCCAGCACCCATATGTCAGCTAGCAACCACTCATAACTCCAGCTCACGGGGATCCAACACCATCTTCTGGCCTCTGTGGACAGTGCATGCATAGGTGCATATACATATATAACGCAGGCAAAACACTCAGGTGAAATAAAAATAAAATAATTAAAAATTTAAGAAGTATCCAAATGATGTGTTAATTTTTCTATAATCTATATAGGAGTCATGTACACTATAAACAGTAATGCAAAACAGTGAGTGCCACTTTTAAGAGTTTGCTGTGTACGCTTTCATTTATCCCATACCTTTCCTGTTTTCAGTCCCTCTAATATAACCGTCTAGTTTTAGATTCAGACACACACTTTTCAGCTACAGAATTCCTCTGTCTCCTGGTAGTCTTCAGTCAAAGGTAAGAAAGATTGATTTGGATAATCAATGTCTGTAAAAAGGTCAGCAAGGACATGCACAAAATGTGGCATTTTTAAAGAGAATATATTTAGTCATGCTCACCTCAGAACCTCAGAGGCCAGACAAGAAACAAAGCTCTGCCTGAAAAACATTATTTGGAAGTGCTTGTGGCAATCTTGAAATTCCCGTCCCTAGTCAAGGAGAATGAATGATTATGTACTGTCTTCTACAGTTGGGCTCCATTTCAAGTTATGTTCCTTATCTATAAATTGTTTAACAAAAGGACAACAAATACCAAGATTGTGTCTCTTACCACAAATGCTTAACCATAGCTATTAAGGAAAAAAAAAAAAAAAAAAAAAAAAAAAAAGACTGATTGAAATAATCACTTTGCAGGTACTCACAGGAAGGAAGCAAACCCAAAGGACAATCAGGAGGTGAGACTGCACCATGGGACAGCCACCAGCCAGATAATCCTCCCTGGGGTCATTGTGAAGTGTCTGAATGTAGGTATGTATATGGAGGACCTCTCTCTAGCTTTCCCAGCCTCCAACCACATCACACACCTAGGCTTCTCCAGCTCTCTGAAGGCACTTTGAAATGCTTGCCTGAACATGAAAGTGTACAGTCAAAACTTTCCACTGGGCCTCCAGCAGAAGGGCTTCCTTGGTATCTTCAGCTTTTAAGCATTCTGAAACGTGACTTACAATTTCTTCCCATTCTGTAGTTTCTGCTCCTCACAGAAACTCATATTTACTTCCTGAATGCAGAAAATCTTTGTCTTTGATATCCCCATTACCTGAAATAACATTCCCAATAACTTTAATGGTCATAATTCTCCTATGATAGGGGGTGGCAACCAGGTTAAGAGCATATACAATAGAAATAGCATACGTTATAGCTTGTACTGAGCCACTCACTACCTAGGGGACCTTGGCAAATGTTAATGTTAAAACCTACTATTCCTTAATTTTTGCATTACCAAAATGAAGATGATAATGCTGTGTTAATAGGCCTTTCATCTGTGACCAATACCTGAGATAAGCAGCTTGAAGGGATGAAAGATTTATTTGTGCTCACAGTTTCAGATGTTGCAGTCCATGGTCATGTGACTCCGTGTTTCTGAGTCTATAGTAAGGCAGATCATCATAGCAGAAGCACATGCTAAAGAGTTGTTCAAGCAGGAAACAGCATGGCAGAAAGGGTCCAGGGCAAGATGCATCCTTTAATGACACACCCTTGATAACCTTCTTCCTCCAATCTGGCCCTCCTTTCTACTTTCCAACACTTCCCAACTGTTCCTTCATACTACAGACCCATTAAAGGACTTATCCACAGATTGAGTGAAAACCCCTACAATCCAATCACCTACCATTGATGGCATCTACCAGCTGGGACAAAGCCACCGCACATGAGTCCTTCGAGGGAACACATGATATACAACTACTCTCCATCTCAATGAGTTGTTGTGAAGACTAAGTATAAAGGCTTAAAATAGTGTCTAATAATGTTAGCCCATTAAAAATTATTATAGTCACATTTGACCTCAACTATCTCATTATATGCAGAAAAGCTAATGTCATGGTGCCATTCTATTCTGCCCTGAGAGGCTAGGTCACTGCCTAAAAACACAAAAGGAGGCAGAATCAGGGCAGAAGTGTTTGATCATAAGAACTGCACCATATTCTCAGCATCACCTGACACAACAGATGCCCAGTTGGCTGATACTGATAATGATAAACTTTTTTCTCCCACATTTCTGTAGTTTTAAAATGAAATATGAGATTACACAAGATTTGACTCTTCAAAAAAAAACATGCTGATGGCCTGTAACTCAGTGATAGAGCACATGCCTAGTGCATACACCAAGGCACTGGGAGTTGACTCTAGAACATCTCAAAAAAAAAAATTGGAATGTAACTTTGCGTGGGCGTATGTTTACACGTGTGGGTGCATGCATGTGTGAAAATGTATGCACGTTTGTGTGTGTGTGTGTGTGTGTGTGTGTGTAGGGGCAAGAAGTCAATGTCAGGTATCTTCCTCTATTGCTCTCCACCTTATTTTTTGAGACAGGGTCTCTCACTGAACCTGAAACTTGCCAGTTCGTTAATCTGGCTTGCCAGCAAGCCCAAGGGATCTTCTTGTCCCTGTCTCCCCAGAGCTGAGATTGTAATTACATTCCGTCCTGCCTGGCTTTTTAAATTTTATTTTTATTTGAATGCTATACAGTACATTTTGATCATATTTAGAAACCTTCTCCTATCTTCACCCCCCATATCCCCCCACTGGATTTCACACATTCTGTCATCTATTTTAAGGCCTATTGAGTCAAGTTTGTGTCCCCAGATAATCCTCTGTGTGAGTTCATCCACTGGCATCTAGTCAGCCTATCTAGAGTCACTCCTTTAAAGATCAGCTCTCCCTCACCCACTAGTGGTCAGCTGCCAATAGTTCCTTTGCTAAAGTTGAGGCTTCTTGCCTAATTCTCCATTTCAGTGCTGGATTTTTGTCTGGTTTGAGTTGTGCATGCTGTCACCACTGCTGTAAATTCATATGAGCACATTCCCAGAAGCCTGAGAAGCTCTGTTTCCTTATGGTCATTCACTACCCCTGGCTCTTAGAGTCATTCCACCCCCTCGTCTGCAAAGGTCCCTGAGTCCTGGGTGGGTGAGGTTTAATATAGGAGTCCTAGCCAGGGACACACACTCTGCAGTTTCTTATTCTCTAAATTTTCACCAGTTGTGGTGTTCTGGGTTAATTGCCATCTGTTGTATAAGGATGTGTCACTGGTGAATATTGAAAGATGTGCTAATAGTCTTTCTGCCCCCTGTTCTTCTATGTTCCATGAGCCTTAGGTATGGAGGTTCCATTGTAGATGAGTCACTTGAGGTTGGCATCTCACAGACACTTATTCTCTGCAGTTAACAAGCTGTAGAACTCAGTAACTGTCTTCATCTATTGCAAAAAAAAATACTTCTTTGATGAGTGGTGAGATGTATACTTGTCTGCAAATATAATGACACATATTTATCTTACAGTAAGAAATTATGTTTGTCTAGGAGGTGAGAGACATAGGTTTTTCTCCATGGTCACACATGAGTCCACCTCCACTGATCTGGCTTTAAGTTCATTAGATAGCTATTGATTATCCCCAAGATAAAATTGCCACTACTGTACCTATAGAAATAGTCTGCTGTTCTGTTCATTATTGTGGTTGTTAGACTGTACAACTGGGTTGGACCATTGATTGTTTTTGTTCTCCCTTGGCAGCTTGTATAATATTTGCTGATACTATGAGAAATAGTCTTCAGGGAGGAGGCTTCCAGATGAGTTCCAGCTCTAGTACTCCAAGTCCTGTATCTTAAGTATGTCTTATCTTCAGCAATAGGGTCTTATTTTCAAGTTCTTGGAGGAAGTCAAGGACTGTGGCAACAGACTGTGGGGAGTCTCTTAGACTACCCTAACCAACAACTCAAAGGGAGGTTTCTCCTGTCTGGCACTGTGTTACTTGTTATATAGCCTTCAGCTATATACACGTACACACACACACACACACACACACACACACACACATATGCATCCCCCCCCCCACGGGGTTTTCGTACCACCTAAGCATTGTTTATCTCTCTCTGCTGTGTAACTCTCCCTCCTCCCTCCCCAGTTAAAGTACCACCATTTCCCCCATTTCCCCCTTGATATCACCTGTCTCCTACTATTCCCCCTTTCATGGGATCCTTCTTCCCCTCTACCCCATTGGTTCCTTTCCATTTTCCTGGCTTCTGCCATTACATCAGGATATATACTCACATTTAAGGATTTGGAGCTAAGGTTCACAAATGAGAGAGAACATATGTCACTTATTTTTCTGAAGTCTATGTTAATTCACTTGGTATAACAGCTTGTAGTTTTATCCATCTATCTGCAAATTTCATGATTTCAGTTTACCTTATCATTGAGTAGAACTCCATTGAGCAAATGCACCCCACATTCATTATTCATTCATCAGCTGAGGGACATTTAGGTTCTTTCCATTTCTTAGCTACTATGAAAATAACAGCGACAAGCATGGCTGTGCAAGTCTCTCTGCAGTAGGATGAGTCCACTGGGTATACGCCAGGGAGTGATATAACTGGATAATATGGTAGATTAATTTTAGGTTTTAAGAGTTCCCCACACTGATTTCCAGAATGGTTGCACCAGTTTGCAATCCCACCAGCAGTGAATAAGGGTTCCCTTTTCCCCATATTCTCACCAGTATTTGATGTCATTTGCTCACTTGATCTTAGCCATTCTGACTTGTGTAAAATGAAATCTTAGTTTTGATTTGTATTTACCTAGGACTTAGTCATAAAAACCGTATAGTATTGGCACAAAAGGAAACATGTAGATCAATGGAGCAAAACAGAAGACCCAAACATGAGTGCGTGCAATTTCAGTCACCTGATATTTGACAAAGGTACCAAGAATGCAAAGTGGAAGAAAGACAGCATCTTCAACAAATGCTGCTGACAAAACTGGATTGCCACCTGTAAAAGAATGATATCAGAACACTTATCTATCACCATATAGATCAAAGACCTCAATGTGAAACTCTGAAACTATTAGAAGAAAACATAGGCAGAACCCTATGGAAAAGGGAAAGGGCTTTCTAAATCAGACATCAATTGCTTGGGAATTAAGTTAATCATTGACAAGTGAGATCTCATTAAATTAAAAAGCCTCTATACCACAAAGGAAACGAACAGTCAAGTGAAGAGGAAGCCCAGAGTGGGAGAAATCTTAACAGCTACACATCTGAAAGAGGATTAATATCCAGAATATGCAAAGAATTTAGAAAACAAAGAATCAAAAAAACAAAAGACCCAACTAAAAAAATGAGCTATGGATCTGAACAGAGAACTCTCAAAAGAGGAAACAAAAATGGCTAATCCTGGGCTGGAAAGATGGCTCAGCAGTTAAAAGCACTGGCTGTTCTTCCAGAGGATCCAGGTTCGATCCCCAGCACCCACATGGTGGCTAACAACCATCTGTAACTCCAGTACCAGGGGATCCAATGCCCTCTTTTGACCGCCAAGGGCATTACACAACACAGATGTTCTTAAATACATTCAGGCAATACATTCATACACATAAAATAAAAGTAATAAATAAAATAAAATAATTCTTTAAATGGCTAATCTAAGCATTCAGGGAGCAGCTTCAGGTGAACCTCTGTGAGTTCAAGGTCAATCTGGTCTACATAATGAACTCCAGGCCAACTGGGCTACAAAGTGAAACCCTGTAAAAAACAAAATGAAGAGAGAAAGAAAGAAAGAAAGAAAGAAAGAAAGAAAGAAAGAAAGAAGAAAGAGAGAGGGGGGAGGGAGGGAAGGAAGGAAGGAAGGAAAGGAGGAAGGAAGGAAGAGAAAGGAGAGAAAATAGAAGAATGTAAAATATTTTTGTTCACTGTAAGTAACTTTTATTAATGAATTACTCCAAATGGAGTAGATTTGCAAATAGTAGGAGTTTTG